ATGGTTACTGTCTAGTATCTTAGCCACTGCTTCCTGAGGCAACAGAAAAAAGCTGGGCAAACAGCAGATTAACCAAAAAGCTTGAAAAGAAAGGCTGAGGAATAAGATGCTCTGAGAATCTAGGCCACGTGCATGCTCAAGGCTGTGAGCATGGTCAGAAAAGACCTGAGAAGGACTTAAGTTCTCACCTGCTGTTGATCTTGAGGCTCTCTGGAAGCAGAAAGTAAAAGCTAAGGCAGAATTGTCAACTGCCTGACTGGGTGTGGAAGCTGAGCCCCAACACATACACAGAGCCCACGCCAAAGACTGGAAGAAATTTTGGCTACAGGCATTCAGGGAAATCTCTGTCCAATTATTAGCTGATCACTAAGCTAATTGAATAGAGACTTCGGTGGCTACACAAAACAAAAGAAACAGAGTTTGTAGAATTAGTACAGAAAAGTCTGTAAACAAACAAACAACAACTACAATAAGCCAAACATAACAATAAATCCTGGAAAGGGGAGAGAATCTGATTTTTTCAGAGTCGCAACTAATAACCGTCACAATACCCATTCTTCAACAGGAACAACGATAACTGCCATACCTGCAAAGAAACAATATAGTATGGCCCAAACAAAGGAAAAAATAAATAGAAACTGTGCCTGAGGAAGACCAGACACTGGGATTTCTAGGCAAAGGCTTTAAATCAGCCATTTTAAATATTCAACAAGCTAAAGGAAACCATGCCCAAAAAACTAAAGGGAAAGTATGAGAACAGTGTGTCACCTAGTTGAGAATAGATCAATAAATAGGTAGAAATTATTAAAAGGAATAAAATAGAAATTCTGAGGGTGAAAAGTGCCATAACAAATTAAGAATTCACTAGAGGGGCTCAACAGCAGGTCTGAACAGGCAGAAAAAGAATCAGCAAACTGACAAATAAACCCACTGAGATTATCTGGTCTGAAGAACAGAAAGAAAAGAGAATTAAGAAAAATAAGCAAAGCCTCAGAGGCCTGTGGGATACCATTAAACATATCAACATATGCTTAATACGAGTAACAGAAAGGCGAAAGGAGGAAGGGGAAGGGGGGGTGAGAGAGAAAGAGAGAATATTTGAAGAATAATGGTCAAAACTTCTAAAATTTGAAGCTCAATGAACTCCAAAAGGATAAACTCACAGGAATCCACATCTACATACATCACAATCAAACTGATCAAAAGCTAAAGACAAAGAAAGAATCTTCAAAACAGGAAAGGACAAGTAACTCATCATGTACAAGAGATCATCAATAAGATTAACATCTGATTTCTAATCAGAAACCAGAAGGTAGAAGGTAGTGGGATGATGTACTCAAAGTGCTGAAAGAAAAGAACAGTCAAACCAAAATTATTTATCTGGCAAAACTATCCTTCAAAAATGAAGGAAAAATTTTGACATTCCCAGATAAACAAAAAGTGAGAGAGTTTGTTGCTAGCAGTCTGGCCCTACAAGTGCTTAAAGGGACTCCTTCAGAACGAAATGAAGGGACATTAGACAGTTACTCAATGGCATATGAAGAAATAAACACCAGGATAGGTGTTTTTGTGTTTACACAGGTAAAAATACAAAAGAGCATAAATGTAATTTTTGTTTGTAATTCTTTTTTAATCTCACTAAAAGACAACTGCATAAAGCAATAGTTATAAATCTAAGTTGACAGGCACACAATATATACAGATTTAATCTGTGACAATAACACATTATATGGCGGAAAGTTTAACACTACTGAAACTAAGTTGGCATTAATCCTAACTAGATTGTTATAAATTAAGATGTTAATGTAATCCCTAGAGAAACCACAAAATATATGTTTGAATAAAGACTTGTATGTGAATGTTCATAGCATTTTTATCATAGTCCCAAAGTGGAATCAAACTAAATATCCATTAGCTGAAGAATGGGTAAACAGTATGTGATATATCCATGATGGAATATTATTTAGCCATAAGAAGAAATGAAGTACTGTTAAATAACACACCCTGAATACTTTATACCAAGCAAAACACAAAAGGCCACATACTGAAAAGAAAAAAGAAAAAAAAAAAAAGGCCACATACTGTATGATACCAATTATGTGAAATGTCTAGAATAGGCAAATCCATAGACAGAAAATAGATTAGCAGTTGCCAGGAAGGGGAGAGAGGAGAATTGGAGCTAACTGCTAACAAGCAGAGGGTTATTTATTTATTTTTTTGGTGTGATGAAAATCTTGAATTAGATAGTGGTGATGGTTGCACAACACAGTGAATAGACGACAACCACTGAACTGTGTGCACTTTTAAATGGTGAATTTTATGTTATGTGAAGTGTGTCTCAGTAAAAAATGCTACAGAAAGCCTACAGCATATATCACATTTAACAGTTAAACAATAAAAGAATATATAATTTTAATAATGAAATAAAACTTTTATATCACTTTTATTCTACGTGTACTAGAGATCCTTAGCACAAAAGAAAAAAAAGTGTAATACTCAGAGAAACTGTTAAAATTAAAAAATAAATTTAGCAAGGTTACAGGACACAAGGTTATTATACAAAAATCAATTGTATTTCTATATAGCAAATATAATTGGAAAGTGAAGTTTAAAAAAACAATATCATATATAATGTCATCTAAAAACACTAAATGACCAGGAATAAATTTTTTTTAAACGTACAGTATATACACACAAAAACCTGTAACACATTAAAAATAATTTTTTAAAGACCTATATGAATGGATTTATTCATGGGTTGTAGAGTCAATACTGTCTGGATGCCAGTTCTTCCAAAATTAATCTATATATTCAATGTAATCCCAATTGAATATCTAAGCTGAATAATTTGTGGAAAACGGCAAGTTACTTTAAAAATTTATATGTGAGGGCTTCCCTGGTGGCGCAGTGGTTAAGAATCCGCCTGCCAATGCAGGGGACACGGGTTCAAGCCCTGGTCCAGGAAGATCCCACATGCCACGGAACAACTAAGTACGTGTGCCACAACTACTGAGCCTGTGCTCTAGAGCCGCAAGCCACAACTACTGAGCCCACGAGCCACAACTACTGAAGCCCGCGTGCCTAGAGCCCTGCTCCGCAATAAGAGAAGCCGCTGCAATGAGAAGCCTGCGCACCACCAGGAAGAGTAGCCCTCGCTCACCACAACTAGAGAAAGCCCACGTGCAGCAACGAAGACCCAACACAGCCAAAAATAAAATAAAATAAAATAAAATAAATAAAAATTTATATGTGAATGTAAAGTGGCAATCTTATAGCAGGAAAACTAAGTTGGAAAATTACTATACCAGATATATAGTACATAGCTACAGTAATTAAGATTGTGTGGTATCAGCACAAGCATGGAGAAATAGATTAATGGAACAAAGCAGAAAGTCTAGAAACAGACCACATGGTTATGGACACTTGTTCTATAATAAAGGTGGCATTTGCAGAGCTGTAGGGAGGAGTCTTTTCTTTAACTGGTATTGGGTCAGTTGGTTTGGAAAACTTTTGAAAAAATATTAAACTTGATCATTACTTTACAATAAACACAAAGTCCAGGGGATTATGAATCTAAATGTAAAAAGTAGAATACTAAAGCTTCTAGAAAAATTTGGAAATATCTTTATGACTGCAAAGTGGGAAAAGATTTCTTAAACACAACACAAACATCAAATAAAGGAAAGGAAAAGACTGATGACTAAAATTAATAACTCTGGTCATCAAGACACCATTAAGAGAATGAAAACGCAAGCCAAAGTGGCAGAAAACGTGCAAAGATTCACTTCTGAAATACATTAAAAACCTCTTTACAAATCAGTAAGAAAAACACAGGCAACCCAATAATAAAAAAAGACTTGAAAAGGCATTTCACATAGGAGAATATCAGTGTCCAATAAACATAAGAAAGTGTTTAAACTTATTCATCAAAGGTTATGCAAATTAAACCATAATTAAATATGACTACACACCTAACTCTATGGTTAAAAACATAAAAGACTTGACCCAGTGTTGGCAAGGATGTAAAGTAATTGAAGTTTTCAGATCCTGTTGCTGAGCTATAAATTGATACAAACATTGAAAAAAAAAAAAGTATTCAGAATTATTTACTAAAGCTGACCCTGCAACTTAACTCCAAAAATAGAAATTTACACATACGTGTACTGAAAGTACAATAGTGTGCAAAGGAAACTTACTCATTATAGTCAAAAACTGGAAACATCAATCTCCAACAAAAATAAATTGTGCTATATTTCTAAATGGATTATACAGCAATGAAAATAAACAAATTACTGCTACACACAATAATGAATAACTATCACAAATACTATATGAATAGAGGAAAGCAGATGCAAAACAGTACATATGGAATGTGTTATGGACTGAATGTCTGTGTCCGTCCCCCCATCCATATGTTGCGATCCTAACCCCCAATGTGATGGTAGTAGGGGGTGGGGCCTTTGGGGGTTCCTTAGGTCATGAGAGTGGAGCCCTCATGAATGGGATTAGTGCCCTTATGAAAGAGACCCCAGAGAGCTCTCTCACCTCTTCCACCATGTGAGGACACAGCAAGAAGACTGCTGTCTATGAATAGGAAGAGGGCCCTCACCAGACACCGAATCTGCCGGCATCTTGATCTTGAACTTCCCAGTCTTCAGAACTGTGAGAAATAAATGTTTGTTGTTTAAACCACCCAGTCTATTATATTTTTGTTACAGCAGCCTGAATGGACTAAGACAGGACGATCCCAGTTATAAACTTCAAACAGCAGGAAAAAGTAATCTATGGTTAGAAGTCAGGATAATCATTATCTTTGTAGAAGAAAAGAAAGGTAGTGACCAGGATGAAGCATGAGTGTGGCTTCTGGACACTGGCAATGTTCTATTTCTTGATCTTGGCAGTGGTTAACTTGATTTACCATGTGATAGTTTACTGAGCTGTGCATCTATATTTTATGTACTTTTCAGTATGTATTTTACTCAATTAAAACAAAAATTTACCTGTTTTTTCTGTGCTCTGTTTCTGTTTTCCAGCCAATCATCCATTTGTTCCTCAATTTCTTCTATAGAAGTTCCATGATCATAAGATTGAATATATGTACTTTCTAAAGGCGTATATACAGGAAATTCAGGTTTTGGTTTTTTTACTTTAACTTTCTTCTGCTCTAAAAAAAAAAAAAATGTTTAAAAGAACCAATCAATAACATAATAGCTTCTAACATTTTATTCATAGACCATTCTTGAAAGAACACATAAATATATATTGTTCTTTCATCAAAATAGAATTGCTTTGCTATAAATAGTTAGCTGTAAGTTTTATTGTGCCCTATCCACTGCATTGTTTTAAAATAAAACTCACAGGTGCTAATGACAGAAGATTATGATATAACCATCATATCAATTTGTATATATCTTTAGTGTTCAAAGTACTGTTCATGAAACATTTCATTATGGCATAGTGAAAAGAGCCTGGTCATTAGTGTTTTAATCCTACCTTTACTATCTAATAGTTGCACAATACTGGGCAAGTAACTTAACCCTTAGAACAAGTGTCCATTTTCTCTTCTGTAAAAGGGAGCTACATCTAACCTCATAAAGTTGATGTGAGGAGAATTATATATCCCCTAACATACTACTTGGCAGAAAATTATCTCTTAATGGTATACATTCATCTTTTCAATATTTTACAAATGCAAAATATAACCTGGCAACATCAAGGGTAGTTATCAATAGATACTTATCAATTTATCAATTGGCCTCTCCATTAAATCCCTTTCTGATTAGAGAGTTAACACTGAGAAGCAACTTCACTCTTGATTACTACTGTCAAACTCATCCATCCTTATAACCATATCTTCTCCATCCTCTATGTATCTGTTATAATACTAATGTAATAAAATTAATATGATATTGGCATATGAAGAGACAAATTCCTAGAATAGAACAGAGAATTCATAAATATTTCAGTTCAGTGGGAAAAGGATTTATTAAATGATGCTGTCACAAATGAATACCCATTTGAAAGAAAATTGGACACAACCTTACAATATATACCAAAATAAATCCCAGTTGGATAAGAGACTTGACTTTAAAAACCAAAACAATAAAAATCTTGCAAAAATAAATCTAAAATACTACCTGTACTATTTAAAGGAAGACAAAATCTTAACTAAGACTGAAAACCCAAATGCTATTTAAAAAAAAGATAAAAGAATAAACAAATCAAGAGAGAAATAACAGATTTGGAAAGATCATCTACAATTCAGAGTACAAACAGAAGACTGATATACAGAATACATAAAGAGATCTTATAAACTGACAAAAGGATAGGCAGCCCAATAGAGAAAAATGGCCAAAAATAATGTGCATTAGGAATACATGGTTGGGCTTCCCTGGTGGCACAGTGGTTGAGAGTCCGCCTGCTGGTGCATGGGACACGGGTTTGTGCCCCGGTCCGGGAGGATTCCACATGCCGCGGAACAGCTGCGCCCGTGAGCCATGGCCGCTGAGCCTGCATGTCCGGAGCCTGTTGCTCCGTGGCGGGAGAGGCCACAGCAGTGAGAGGCCCGCGTACCACAAAAAAAAAAAAAAAAAAAGAATACAGTGTTATGGGAACAGTTCTACTTAACAAGGCTGTTACCTTTCTAGAAATTACATCGCGAAGATCCCACATGCCGCGGAGCAATTAAGCCCATGCGCCACAACTACTGAAGCCCGTGCGCCTAGAGCCCGTGCTCTGCAACAAGAGAAGCCACCACAATGGGAAGCCCGCGCCGAAACGAAGAACAGCCCTGCTCGCTGCAACTAGAGAAAGCCCACGCGCAGCAAAGAAGACCCAATGCAGCCAAATTAAAAAAAAAAAAAGATTCCTTATGAAGTTGGTCGTATTACTCAATTTTTCACAATTTCTTTATCTTGAGCAACAAATTATTGCTAAGGGAAAATACACATAAACTAGAACGTATCTCATGGCTACTAATTTTGGCTGCTTATAGAGAATCAGTTATAAAAAGGAAGCAAATAAATTTGGTTTATTTCTGGGATGTTGGTCACAATTGCAAGTATTTGAATCTTTTAAAATATGCATTTAAAAAATCACTTAAAAAAATAATACAAAACTTCCACTCCTGGAAAAATGAAGAAGTACTTTTTCATAGTCCTCTCACTAAGAAAAACTAAAAATTCTAAATGTTATATATGAAACAAACAGAAGAATAATCTGAATGTTGGAGAGAAGACAGACCAACTAGGAATGGCAGGACCCAATGAGCACCAAGGTGGTAACTTCCCTGGGTTTCTTACAGCCTCATATATCCCAGACGTGGTCCCAGGGAAGCTTGCAACCCAAAAACACTGAAAGGCACAGAAATAATAATGGTAATATTAAAAAATTTAAAAAGCTTTCTCTTTCCAGCCAAAAGGACCAGAAAAGCAGCAGCATATCAAGATAAACTTTTAGATTATAACCAATCTACTTCAGGCAAACAACACAGAAAAAACTATGGCCACACCCCACCCCCATGCCAGTGAAGGCTAGTGGGAAGCCTAGACTTCTGCCACAGTGAGGCTGTAATGAGGCACCCCAACCTCAGGGTGATGTGGGAGAAGGCTGTATAAGAAGCCAAGCTTTCATGTCTGCTGAGAGGTGATGTGGGTCCCCCTTCCCATGTGGGAACAGCAGAGACTAAGTTGGTAGTCTGGGTTTCCAAATCTACCCAGGGATAGTAGATTTGGAATAATGAGGTGTCCCTCCTCCTCCCTGCCAGGGTGGTTTCAGAGGAAGCCTAGAGGGCAATCAGGGCTTTCACAACTGTCCAGCTGAGGCACCCCTGCCCTCCACAATGTCAGGGGAGGCCAGGTGGTGAGCAGTAAGGCTGGGGTAAGTGGAGACCTACTGGCAAGCAAGAGCACCCACACCCACCCAACCCTGAAAGGATTCACAACCAGCCTCCCCCTCAGCTGCAATACATGTCATGAAGGGAACCTGGAATTCCACTCCTACCTGACTGTAACAGGGCAGCAACCCTCCCCTTTCCACTGCTAGGCTTTGTTAGAGAACATCAGGTAAAATAGAGGATTTAAATAAGATCCAGAGTCTTATAATACCTGAAATGTCCAAGTTTTAATAAAAAAAAAAAAGTCACTCATCATACCAAGAACCAAGAATATCTCTATCTGAATGAAAAAGATAATCAATAGATGCCAACAGATATCCAAATTACCTGACCAGGACTTTAACACAGCCATATAAAAATGGTTTGACGAGCAATAGTACACATTCTTAAAACAGAGGAAGAAATAAAAAGTCAACAGCAAAGAAACAGAAGATATACAGAAGAACCAAAGAGAAATACCAGAACTGAAAAGTATGCTAACTGAACTTGGCACGTTTTTCAAGTGCAAAATGCAAACAACTGTCAACTCAAAATTCCATATTCAGTGAAAATATCCTTCAGGAATAAAGGGGAAACCAAGACCTCTGCAGACGAAGGGAAACTAAGAGAATTTGTTACCAGCAGACCTATCTGATAATAATGGCTAGTTATCTGAACAGAAAGGAAATCATAAAAGAAAAAAATCTTAAAATAGCTGGAAGGAGAAAGAACAAGAGTAAAAATATGGGTAAATACAATAGATTTTCCTCCTCCTCTTGAGTTTTCTATGTTATATCTGACAGCTGAATGGAAATTATAACATTCAATATATGTAGAGAAAATATTTAAGACAGTTATAAGTGGGAGACATAAATGGATGTAAAGTGAGGTAATGTTTCTATATATCACTTGAAATGGTAAATTGTTTACACCAGTAGATTGTAATGTATATATGACATAATACCTAGAGCACCCACTAAAAACGCTATACAAAATAATATATTAAAAAAACACTATAGGGCTTCCCTGGTGGCGCAGTGGTTGAGAGTCCGCCTGCCGATGCAGGGGACATGGGTTCGTGCTCCGGTCTGGGAGGATCCCCCATGCTGTGGAGCGGCTGCACCGTGAGCCATGTCCGCTGAGCCTGCGCGTCTGGAGTCTGTGCTCCGCAACGGGAGAGGCCACAACAGTGAGAGGCCCGCGTACCGCAAAAAAAAACCACACTATAGATAAATTCAAATGGAATTCTAAAAAGAAAAACATTCGAGTAACCTACACAAGAAAGCAGAAAGAAGAAAACAGAACAAATAGAAAACAAAAAATAAAATGGCACACTTAAGCCCTAATATATCAATAACTACATTACAGGCAAATGGTCTAAATACACCAATTAAAAGATAAAGATTGGTACAGTGGATGAAACACCAGGACCTATGTATATGTTATCTACAAGAAACTTATTACAAATTAAACAAAACATTAATCAAAAGAAAGCAGGAGTAGCTAATTAATATCAGGTAAATAGAATTCAGAGCAAAGGAATTTACCCAAAAGATGCCCAAAGCAAGCAGAAGAAAGAAAATAATAAAAATAAGAACAAAAATCAATGAAATTGAAAAGAAAAGCAATAGAGAAAATCAATGAAACAAGGAACTGGATCTTTGAAAAGATCAATAAAACTGATATACATCTGGAAAAACTGACCAAAAAACTGAGAAAACAGAAGTTAGCAGTACTTTAGCACTGAAACAGGAGAAATCACCACAGGACATGCAGACATCAAAAGGATAATAAAGTGAACAACGCTAAACACACAAATTTGACAATTTGGGTGAAGCTGACCAACTGCTTGAAAAATACAAACTACCTTAATTCAATCATTAAATAGATATATGAAATAAGATATTTGAATAACCTTGTATTTATAAAGGAAATTTAATTTATAATTTAAAAACTGCCAAAAAGAAATATCCAGGCTTAGATGGCGTCACTAGAGAATTCTACCAAATGTTTAAAGAATTAACACCAATTCTACACAGCTTCTTTCAGAAAATAGAAGAGACTTTGCAATTCATTATATGGGGGTACCCTGATACTGGAATCATACAAAGACAGTACAAAAAGAGAAAACTATAGACCAGTATCTCTCATGAATATAGATGCAAAAATCCTTCACAAAATATGTGCAAAGAGAATTCAGCAATATATAAAAAGAATTATATACCATCATGGTATTTACTGGGGGGGGGGGGGTGCAAGTGTGGTTCCATATTCAAAATTCAATCAGTGTA